TGCAATATAAACATAATCATATGCAATACAGTTGAAAATGCAGTGTGCAATATAAATGTAGTCTGCAATATAAATGCATGCAATGTACAATACAAATCAGTGAACATCACAAATGCAGTATGCAATACAAAGTACATACACATAAAGGGATATTCATTGCAAAGCCAATTCTTTCTTGGAATGGTAGCTATAACTAATTTCAATTCATAATATCCACTTATTGCAAAACGTGAGAAAATGTTTTGATATCGTCAAAAGTGATCACTTCATAGCTGCAATATCAAGAGAGAAATAAGTAAGGAATATCCCTTTAAATACTGTGTGTATTAAATGCAGAGTGCACATTCCTTAATACAAAGTAGTGCTTTATTTAACTATAGTGGGAAAACTAAATCTGCAATACAAATTAATAGAGCAATGCAATTTAATGAAGCAATACATGTACTAATCCATTGAGAGTGGTAATCCTCAATACTCTTAAGTCAGTGAATTTATGGTGTCAATATATGGGAATGAATAATGACTCAATATGACTCAATCCCAAATGTACATATGCTGCACTTTCTGAGTGAAAATCTATATTATTCACAAAGAAATCATTTGTATAATACATGATAATTCCTCGCAATATGTTAACAAATAACACTTGAATAAATAGCAATTCATTATTAATCACCAGTTATTTGTTCCATTGAATTTTTCAATGAGAATGAATATTTTATCAATACTCTATATACTATACTCTAATAATAATAGTAATAAGTAGCTATAGCGAGCATGGTTGTTATGTTTTTGACACATAACCAAGAGAAAAAACAAGATGGAGTTACCTTGGGATGATTGGGATTTTAAAGGGATGCAAATTAGCAGTTCGTCAAAACGCTAAGAAACATCCAAATTTTTGGCTTGCATTTTCTAAAAACATATGCAACAAAAGAATTTTTATGTTAAGGTATGAATAAACACTTAAACATATACATAATTACAATAAAATGAAAAATGAATATTGAATTGCGGTTCAAAAAGATAGATGTGATTCAAGTAAGATATCTAACATAGTGACTATGATGCAATTTATCTTGCTATCATAACTTTTTTAAAGGCTATTGATTTGATATATGTGTACATATTCAACTTCAAATTGGTTCCTAATATGGATTGGTAGCTTTCTTTTTTCATGCATAGGATTCAATTAAAAACGTTCATAGTTATTTTCCAAAAATCATTTTCAACTTGATTATTTTCATTCCAGTTTAACCCTTTTCAGATTGTTCAAATGGAGTTTGAGATTCAAATGAAGTTTGAGATTTATATAATGTACAGTACTGTTAATTTTGATTGATTTAATTATTTCATATTCTTTTACTTATCAAGTTTTTTGCAATTGTGTGAAATACACTTACAGTAAAACCTTTATATAGTGAACACCTATGGAGCCACAAAAAGTGTTCGCTGTAGGTAGGTGTTCACTACAGAGAGGGAATTTTAGGAGTCAATGTAAAATGTGTCTTGAAGTTGTGTTCACTAAACACAGTTGTTTACTAGAGAGAGGTGCTCACTAAGACAGGTTTTACTGTATATTCTAACTATGACTATAAATATTTATCAATGCAAGTACATCGTAAAACTACTGCACTAGTGTATTTCTATGCATTGAAATGAAGAAAAAAATGGACATTAGTTATTTATTGTAATAAAATCAATTAACAAAGAGAGAGTTGGAACAGTTCATTATTAATTGTTCAATATACATTATCATTATGATAATGATGATGATGATAATGATAATTGATGCATTTAATGATGATTACAATGCTATCTCCATCATCATCATTTGTTAGCTGATTGTGTTCAGTCTATCAAGCACAATCAGTTGTTGTGACAACACAATCACTGGGGGATCTGGGGGGCCCAGAAAACAAATTGGCACCAAAAAGTGGTCCTTTTGGTCATTACTGGGGCTTTTCAGGCCTTATTTTTTATTTTAGGCCAAATTTGAAGAAAATAGGCCTCAAATTGTCAAAACTTGGGCCCATTTTTTGGTTTTAGGGGCCCAAAAATATTTTCCAATTTTTTTTATTAAATCCTAAATTTGCACCCTCCCCCCCCCCCCCCCCCCCCCCCGGGCCCCCCTTTTGATGGTTCCAGATCCAGATCCACCCCTGACAACTGTCTCAAACAAAACTCATTTTGGTTCAATCTTGTGAAATTCATTCTCTTCAATCATTGGTAAGCCACTGGAATGCCCTGGAGCTGGAGGTTCTTGCCCCTTTCTCAGTCTGATCTTTATCAATTGCGGAAAGATTTTACAGAATTTCAGACTAAAGACTAAAGCTGTGACAACCCTCTTGGTGTAATATCCTATTGAGTGACATCCCCTCCAGTTTGGCAACCAGCAGGAGAACCCTTCTAGATTCAGGGCTGTCAACTTGGGACCACCTAATATGAGTGACTTCAAAATGTTGGACACCTAAGTCCAAATCTGAACACTTTTGTCCAAATTTTGAACACCTTTGGCCAACTTTTAAACACCTTTGGCCAAAGTTTGAGCACCTTTGCCAAACTTTGAACACCTCAAATTTTTCGCGCTCGCTACGCTCGCGATCTCGTCAACGGGGGGGGGGGGGGGGGGGGGGGGGGGGGGGGTAGGTACGAAAAATTTCCAATGAACATGCGTGACACATACGGGATTAGCGTGACAAATCCGAACAAATTGCGTTCGGTTTTTTCCCGCGTTCGTATTTTTACCGTATCGTAAACATATTTCGAAAATATTTCTACAGAAATATTTTTGCGTGACAATTACCAGGTAAAATGCGTATTTTGCGTGACATTTTCTGTCACGCAAAAAAAACTGGCGTGACTTCAAATTCTTCAGCAAATGCGTGACAAATACGCAAATTGCGGGACAGTTGACAGGCCTGTAGATTTCATGTTAAATCCTGTTTATGCTTGGAGATTTGTGAAAATTTGTCACGATTGTCATCAATGTCCAAACTATTGTAATGGGAGTGGACAAGGAGGATTGGCTCCCAGAGTGCACCACCGATATTCTGTCCCATATATGGTAGCGGTGACCTTTGACCTCACAGGTTTCAAAATGGCTTCCGTGCTAAAGAAAACAAGCGGAAACCTGTCACGTGTCAACAAGGTCAAAGGTCACGCTACCATATATGGGACAGAATATCGGTGGTGCACTCTGGGAGCCAATCCTCCTTGGGGAGTGGAACAAAATAAAAACTCAAACATTAATAGGCTATCAAATGAAGGCATCCAGTTGCCAAATTTATGGAGGGGAGTGTATGTTGCTAAATATAACTTTTTGCCTCACCTATTCAAAATAACCTCACCTATAAGTAAGAGCACTTATCCATGACAACTGAAGTAGAGAAACAGGAGCTGAGTTGAAACATATCAATGTACACCTGTGTAAATGTCAGCTCCCTAAAACATAATCAAAACACAATATGGCATAATCAGTAATTTGCTCAAAAGCGACATGACTGTAATTTTCAACGGAATTAAGGCATTTTAATGACAGCTGAAGTGGGAGTTGAGAGGGAAATAAATAGAAATGTTATTTCAGGAACTATTTTCCTGGTGGTTAAATTCTTCAGTGTATTCTTGCAGCAACTGAGGTTACTATGTTGTTATTGTATATCATGTTACTGCTGCTATAAACAAAAGCTATTCAACTCTCAAGAGGAACCCTGGAAGAATTTTTAATGGGAGTTTCAATTACAGTTTTGCGTTCAGATTATTCTGAAGGTTTAATGTTACATATGGAAAACCAGGGAAACAGAAATATTCCTGGACAACATTTCTTCTATCTTAAGTACACAACTTGAGAAATGAAACCAGTTTTTTACAAAGAAAATGTAATTTTGTACATAAGAACACATGGCTTATCCAGAATCCAAAAGAGCAAGCCACAATAATAGATTCATTTATAATTTGTGAATATTACCATAGAAACGTGGTTACCATATGAACATGCATGGTTAATTCACAAGAGTAACAAATATATAAATTCACTTATAACATGCGAATATTACCAGGGTTATAGTATCATACTACAATATTGCAATATTACAATAAAAATATAACATAAAGTTTTATTGTGGTCGCAATGTGCTCCTTGTTGATATAGAAGCCCTGCCCTGAAAATATTCACTACTGTATTTGCACTTCAACATTTTTATCTGGATACGGATGCAAGGTGGTAACAAGGCAGTAAGGCTTGGGAAAAACAATAAAAAATAAAATTAACAGATGTATCGTGCATTATCTAAATTGTTATGAATCGCAAAAAAATCTGGAATATCATTCACATCAAAACAGAAAATGGAAGAATAATCTGAAAGTCAAAGGAGAGATGCTAATGTCAGATTGGTGAAGTATAAGTCTTATCTTGGATATGGGTCTGATAGTGGTTTATGCATCATTTCTAGCTGATGTATGTAATTAGAGGGATCAGAGAAGTATCTTGAAGGAAAACATCTCAATGCTCTCATCTAAAAATGCAAAAACGGCAGAAAAGAGAGAAATAACAAGGGATAAAGTTAATAAACTTTTCGCTGCATACTTATAATTGTAAAAACCAGAAAGTTGGATTATGGGTTTTTAAAACTTAGAGAACTTGAGCAGGGAGAAGGAATGACCACTATGGTACTTTACTAGTGGGATCATGATTACAATGTTTCAAGTTTCATTGTTTAATAATTGATTGATTTATTTCTCCGATACGTAACTCATAAAAAATACAAACAATGAAGAATTTTGTAATTTAGAATTAAACAAAACAGAGAGGAATGGGCAAGGAATGTAGTAGCTACATATAAAGTAAATACTATAAATTGTAAACAAATGAGAAAAAGTGGGCACTACATTTAAAATATATTGCGAATGGTGTCAAATTGTAATAACTTGATATAAATCTTTTGGAAAAGTATTCCATTGTTTGGATGATTATGATTAATCGTACATTGTGTTTTTGCTTGCAGATTTCCGAGTAGTGCTGAAGTAAGGAGTTCTAATAGGAGTAACTGGATTACCACTAAGAAGATGTTGGATTACCAGGAGGAAATCAAGGATTACTGTATGGAATTTTAAAATGTGAACAACGATCAGTGTATTTAAAACTACAACTCAGGTCAATGAAGAGAAACTTATTAGATTTAAACAGAAAATTTATTCAATTAAGTCACAATTAATTGTACAGTAACAATTTCTCTGTTTTTCGAGATTTATCTTTATTGAAAGATATTATCTGCAATTGAACAGTTTGTTTATGACTGATATTATTACAGAAACTAGTCAGGTGTGTTGTGTTAAAAGTCATTCAGCATGAAAATTAATTGAGAAATTACCTAAGAAGCCTCAAATCATGATGTGTCTTACATTAGAAATTGGCACGCAGCGTTGATTTTATATTACCGATTGACAAAGATCAAAAGATTTATTCTAGTGCATAAAACTTACATGGTATCTAGATTTCCGACGTGTCAATTGAGCCTTTGGATGAAACCGTAATAATGAGATAATATTGACTTTCGTAACTTACTGCTTCCTTCGTTAATGTATACTGCTAAGTAACTTTGATTGGTTAAACAAAGGAGGAAGTTTTAATTGTGGACATCAAAGGCTTATAGGGATCTATTAATTAATAAACAGTAAAATAATTAATCCCATTGTTCTAAGTTGAGGCATCAAGTTGTATCAATTAAAATTAACTTGAGAAAAGTGAAGCTGATCTTACAGAAGGAAGATACTGTATTGGAGTCTTAACTAAATCAAATAATTGAAAACACAATATTCTCACAATTATTTGGTGCAACCTGTCAAAACACAATCTGGCACAATCAATGGTTGTGCTTTTACTAAAAGTGAGTGTCTACCTCAGAAATAAGAATTCTAATGTTTCAAACATCTATGGTGAAATACGATGTTGACTTATTTAACTGTAAAGGTGTCGCAGCTAAAATGATGGATCGGGATCGAGGAGGATTATTGAATCGGGCAAGTTATGCTCCCAGTCTTCTTCCACAGAGAGAGAATAGAGAAAAACCTGATGTACAACAGAATAAGGATCAAAATAGACCTCCAGAAGGCTACAACCCAAGTAGGCATTCTGAGACATATAACCAAAATAGGCCTTCTGAATGTTATAACCAAACAAGACCTTCTGAGGGGTATAACCAAATGAGGCCTTCTGAGGGGTACAACCAAACAAGGCCCTCTGAAGGATATTCACCCAATAGGCCATCTGACACTTTTAACCCAAATCGGCCACCAGAAGGATATACTCCTCAAAATAGAGCTCCCGATCCCTTGCAACCAGTGCGGTAGGTTTTTTATTTAATTTCCCTTAGGCACTGCCTAATTTGATTTTCACTTAATACCATATAATAACCTTCATTCAATATTTTGTGGTATTTCTTCAAGACCCTGGATTCCCCACCCCCTTATCTACTTTAACAACAGTTGTGTTGGTAATGTAGATGTGGGGGGGGCACAGTCATGAAGCAAGATTAGCAATCTCGTTGACTAAAATATATGAGCATCATTTTTAGGTGCTGTTTTTTTATTTGATAAAATTGCACTTCCAAAATGTTCTATTGACAATGCTGTGTTTCATACTCTATGTAGAATTTACAACAAAACATATGAGATGACCCCTTACAAGTATATTGTTTGCATATTAAACTAGGCATTGCCCTAAATGCAAAGAATGAGTTCTGAAACACATAAAAGGACCTCCTAAATAATTCACACTTAGAATGCATGACAAAAGGTACTTCTTTTAGCTGACCTTTTAGTTCTTTTTTAGATTGATTGACTCTCTGCATTTTAATTACTTTTCATTTGCCCAGTTGCATGTTAATTACGACAAAATGATTGACACTATTTGTTATGTACTGGTTTTTAGTTGCCTTAAAATTAGACTGAAATAAGTCATTGATCAATGCTCCACATACAGAATGAATAAGGTTAATCAGTGGTTAAGATATTGGTATGTTTTATGTTCATATTCACAAAAGTTGTAGCTCTAATTCTTTTACAAAGGATGATGGCTTTATGCCCCCCCCCCCCCTCCCCCAGGAGATCTATAATTACTGTAACTTGCCTTTTGAATAAATGTTTACATAATAGTATATATCAGAAAGGTTAACATGCAAATATATCAAATGATTTATTGAAGACTATGACAAATGCAATGTCACAATATAGATCTTATGTCAGCGAAGCAAATGCCAATTTATGAATTAGGTCACCATGGGGTTATGAGATTTGTTTTGCGTCATTTGTACACATCACATGCAAACAACGAAACCTAGCAATTATAACTTAGTGATATGACATAAACACCACACATACTAATAAATCAGGTGATGCATTTGTACCAATGATTTATTTATGAGAAATATGGCTTTTAGATATTTTTAGTTTTCCTATTGTTTACCAATTGCTCCCTCCCATCTTTTTATTGTTTGGTGGTGTAAACAGAAATTGACCTATTGTTCAACTACAATAGGTTGATCAACAAATCTACCAGGCTAAACATACAGAATTCCTTTTGGTCAATGGAAATAGTGTTATTTGTTATAAACAGTTCTTTAGGTTCCATGAATGGTGTGCTCACAAATCCTATAACAAGATCAATACAACTATATCTTGGCCTGTGTTGAACTAAGCAGTTGTGATCACATGACCAAAGTTGCTATAGCAAGCCAAACAGCTCATACCGGAAATAACGCTGCAATTTTAATTGACAGTAAAATAGTTCCTCTTTTATCTCAATCAAACATCTATAATTTGCTATATTGATTTTCCAGTATCTACCATATCACTTAGATAGAGTATAAGTAACATCATTAGTGGCCTATTATCTGTTTTCTTAGTATAAATAGAGATTTTAATATGCGTAGTAATATAAAGTAGTGCAAGCACCTGCTAAGAAGAAAATTACCAAAAGTGAACGAATTTGTTGTTATATTCATCAAAAACTACATAAAATCTCAATTAAAACAATATAAAAACATTAATCAATCAAAGACATGAAGCCAAGGGAGCTATAGACTGTTGAATTATTGTTGAAAGAGGTAAGCTACTCCGATTATTCAGGTTTATTTTGGTGAAATTTTAGGCTTATAATTTCAACTGAACTTGAATTTCATGTTCAAAAAGTCCTATCTGGATTTTAGCTTGGAGGATTTTGCAATATTCCATTGGTAATCAGGAGGCATTTATGAATCAGAAACCTTATAAATCCTGCTAAGCCACAAAATTAATTGTTAATTTGAAATTTGTTGTGTTTTCTCGTTGACCTCAGGGGTTGCTGATGTTTACACTGCGCTATTGACAGTGCATTTGTTCTCGGGTTTCGCTTTTATGTTTGATTTTGATTTTTGAATGTGTATAAGGTCACGTTACAGAAAAATCTGCTTTAAATGGGCTTATTAGCCTTTTGCGGATTATTGATGTAGATGTAGATCTGTCAAGTGTCAACGTATATTATAGACTAGAGAGTATGATCGTGAAAGTAGTTCAGAAGACTATTTTTTCAAAACTAATATATGCATATCATCTAGAGATGTTACCCCAAACACCTGAGAATATGTGATCCATACCTAGACTATACAAGCCCGTAGCCAGCTCTTGCCAAGGAAGGGGTGGGTTCAGTTTTTAAAAGATTCCAAGGGGATGGGGGGTCATATTTGACAATTTAGGAACATACGGCAAATTCAAGAAATTTGATGCGGACATGTCAACAATCACATTGCTCAAATAATCATTTTCGGATTCTCAGTAGATGTAATGAAGTTTATCTTTTGAGAAATAGAAAGTTGAACGGAACTTTCACAATAGAGTTGACTTCTTGTGTGTAAAAATATATTATATCTATATACATTTAATATCAAGAAGAAACTCACAACGGTTAGTCTTGATTATATCAAGGACATCACATTTCCAATATGACCTCCTTTCTAAGTTACCTAATCGTAATCTTACTGTTTGACTAGACATCTCACGTTAGACTTCATGATAGAATAATATGAGGTACAGAAACAAAGAAAAACAAATATTATCAGTAAAATCATTTTGGAGAAGACCTAAGAAGATGAAGCAATTTCTAGGCAGGACTTACTATTGTTTGAATAATGTACTAACTTAGGTTACGTCATGTAATGAATTCGCTAACGTCAATAGCAATACAGCGTACATACATAATTAAGGCAGAATCTACATAGCTATTACACAAGAACAAAATGAGGCGGTTATTTAATATTACATAACATTACCCATCCCTCTCCTGCAATAATGATGGTTATTAGAGCATGTAAAAGGAGGAAGCATCACTTTTTCCTGACAACTAAGTGCTGATTCATCATTTCTTCCCGTCTGTCTGTGTTAATGCTATTCATAGTGACAATAGCCATAGATAATAATAACCGCAGAAACAGTTGCAGTGCATGGTCCATGTAGGGATTTATATTAATTTTGTATTTCTTTCCCTGTCTGTTCATTTTACCATTTGTGATTTTAACATATTAAACAAAAGGTGTATTTTGGCATGTCTAATGCTTAACAGTGTCTCAACACATGAACTATATACTGTAATATAATAACAGCATACAATCTTCTCTGAGCTGTTGGTCAAATATGCACATTAAATATCCATATTATTAAATATTTAAATATGTATTTTTTAGACTAATTTTGGTCCTTTATATTTGTAGCCCAACTGGGTACAGAAGCAACATGATGGAGAAATACGAAAAACACGGCAAGATTGGTGAAGGATCTTATGGAGTCGTGTTTAAGTGCCGAAATAAAGATACAGGGGCATATGTGGCAATTAAAAAATTTGTTGAGTCGGAAGATGATCCACTCATTAAGAAAATTGCTATGCGGGAAATAAGAATGCTTAAGGTAAGTCTTAGGAATGAGGAATTATTTCTAATAACACTTTTATATGTGAGTTACGTTAGCCAGATTAGAACAAATCTCACGCAAACAATATAAACCTAGACATCCACTCCTCCTCCCCCACTGAAATCCCTGTGAAAATTGTTGATTTTCTTCAATTTGAGGGTCATTTTAAGCCTGTATTATATAACAATCCTACAATCAATAACCTTGTAAGGTAAAGATTTATGCAATTTATAGTGAACATAATAATTGTACCAAGAGATCACGATGACCTTGGTGGAATTAATGATAATCCATATTCCTTGGAATATTAACCTGGCTGGAATGTTGCTGTAGCATATTTAATGATGATCAATTATATGTAATTCTGTCATGCAAGGTATCAGTAGGAAGCCATTATGTTGATGTCATTGTGTTACTTATTAGTTAGATGGTATTTGACATGTGAGACAATGGGATAGAATTGAAGTGCTTTCAGCAATCATTTACATCAATATTCACATCGAATTCACCTGTCACCCCCCCCCTCAGTGCCCTTTAGGGCGGGTACACTTAATTTGGATGAAACAATATAAACCCGAAATAATTGATATATGTAACTATGAATATTAGACACACACCTTGTGACATTATCAGGAAACTCAGTTCACTTACTGCAGCAACATTATATTAGAAACTGAACCCCAATCAGGTAGCTACACTTACCTCTTGATGAATTTATTGCTTCGATCTTTATGATCTCAAATGTTTCATGGCCTTGGTAATATAAATATGAAACTAATGTTAGATAATATATGTGACTCTGGGGCAGATTATATAGTGTAGTGGTTTTATGGCTTTAATACGAGTTCTCATTGGATATTGCCTTATTGCATTGAATCAGTGAATCATTCCTGATTTAAAGAGTGTAATGTAGGTGACCTTTTATAAAGGGTAATTCCATTTGTTATTTCCTCATAACACTGTTTAGGATAGAATATCAATGAGATGCATTTTATATGTCAAGTATTGATTGTTGAATCAATTATGTACACATTCTTAATGTAAACAATGTGAATTACATCATCTCGTTATCTCAATCAACCCTTTATTAACGATTGAGCTTAAATCCACTCTCAAGATTGCTGATAAACCTGTAGTCTACATTCACTTAAAGATCTTGAAATTTAAAATGGGACATTTTTCAATTTGATTATAATTTTTTCACATTTTAGAATCTTAAGAAGTCAGGACTTTATTCTATTGAGAGAACAATAACATTTTCAAACTTGGACTTTGTAAGACCAATGCGATTGTGGTGGGCTAAGTTGGGGATTGTGGTGTGGATTGCTGGCAATGCGATTCTATTTTATGAATACATGTCCAGATAATCAAAAGTGAAACCTCAAGGAAATTATTCTGGTCAACATTATTTCTGTAAAGTTGAACTTGGATTTGTAAGTAACAGAAATTCAGGTTAACATTGGAATGAAAATATTTATAAAACGATGCCAGATTATTCTTTAGAAATAACTACACTGTAGGTAATAGTCATATTTATTTCTTGAATTATTTCTTTTATATGAGAACTCATTGATCACTTAAGAAAATCATGAAACTAAAATTACTTAATGAACGAAAACCTACATGTAGACGTTGTCAATTGTTATGTGAATTCATTTGTTTAAGTTTTGTAAGCTAATGGCGTAAGGTTTAGCTTGAAGTGTTTATGCAAGGGCCTTAAACATAGGATTTGTATAAGTTCCAAAACACTTCTTTGCCTGGTCCCTTGGGAACAAAGCCTAACTAAATATGATTGAACAAAGGTGTGTTCTTGTAGTGATACAAATATGAGGAAAATTGGAAATAATATGAAAAGCCAAGTTGAAAATGACAGTGAGAATTTCGTAAATCTCCTTCTTAATTGAATTTTGAGTGAAATGTATTGTTATGTGAACTTTTTTGGAAGAAATAATCCAAGAAATCCTTGTTGTTATTCTACTTTCTGTTTCTTTACATTTGTGCTTTTCGTGCATATTTACTCTAAATTACCTGGGAAAGTACACTTTTCACTTTTATCTTGTTAAAATCTTTTGTCCAGAAGATTTGTAACCTATTGACGACAACATGACTATATTTTTTTGGAAATGAATAGGAGTGTTGTTTGCTTTGAAATGTTTTGAATTAGAAACCTTCTTGCTTTCTTCAATTGCTCTTTTAGAATTATTCAATTCAAAGGAATGTCACATCACCCTACGTCTTTGATTCTTTGCAAAATGTACAAGTGCTTTGCCCATGGCGTCTTTATAATATCTATTTAAACTCTCGAATTGTGTCATTCTGTCAAATGTCAAGAGAAAGCTGCAAATGCACAAAAAATAGATTGTTATATTAAAATGGGTGTTTACATTACGATACTCATGGTATCCTCTTACCAACCTCCGATCACATGGTTTCAAAGTCCAGAATATATTCTTTCTTTTTACCCCCTGCGATAAGCAGTTAGCATTTCCCCGATTAAGAACTCGCAATCTGATTGGCTGTCGCAACACTGGGACAGAAATCATGTATAAGTCATTGCGCATTATAAGATCATGTGATTCAGTTTAATCGGGAGCTTCCAAATTGGTTATAGCAGGGGAGAAGAAGGAGGTCAGATTCTGGACACCTGCTTAAGAGGATGTCTCTAACTTGCAAGACCTCTTCTAGACTTCTGTTGTATCAGAATGGCAGTTTAACAGTAAAAGAAATGTTAGAAAATCACAGTGCAGAGAAATCAAGCATAAGAAAATATAAAATGAAATCCAAAAATCCTAAGACCAGATCATGAGAATCAGCCCAAGGCTGTATCATTCTAGTGATAATATCATTAGATTTACTTGAATGCAATATGCAACACTAAAACGAGTTCACAAATTAAATATTAATCATTCTTTTTTTTGTCATATACATTGATATAAATAGTTATTTTTTATTCATAATTTATATCTTTGATATTCAATATTGATGAGAGCTTAGCAGCAAGGACAAATAAGAGATAAACATTGTCTATTCTCTGATAAACAATAGTGTTGGGTCATGTGGCCCTCAGATCGGGCTCCCACAGGCCAGGTTAAACTGTTATGTCCCCTTTGCATTTGTTTGACTTCACTTCTTAAAAGAGAGCTTCGTCTTCAAATGTAGTTGTAGTTTAACTAGACTCTGCATGCAGGGTAACTGTTATGGGTTTATGGGCTGGAATATAATAGCAGTGAGAAATAAATTATAGAAACCATCTAAGTTAATCCAAATAAGTTATAAACATCATCTTAGTTTAATACAAATAAAATGATATTGTTGTATGTAATTTATGCTGTGGTCACATTTGCTCCGATCTTCAACACAAGCACCTGGCTGATGAGTATTTTGTTCAAAACTGAATGCAATAATAAAAATACTAATAGGCCAGGCACTGAAAATCGTAGCAAATGTGACCAAGGCATAAATAAATAAAAACATCATTTAAGTTATAAATCGTCAATTAAATTAAGGTAGAGTTGTACTTTTATACAATTTATCAATGATTGCTTACATACTAGAAAACATCAGTTTATAAATGGACTTTCAAAAATATTTATCTACATTTAAATCATTTGGACAGGCAAGAATTTCCTAGACATTTAATATCCCTGGAATTACTGCCAATAAAGCCAGTATAATAGAGGCACAATAAAACTTTTAGAATCTACAATAATTTCTTAAAGAAACAGTGAAGTCACTCAGTGCTGCCCTTTCAACTCTAATTGAATTTACTTGTATGTTTTCCAATTTTCCCGGTTTATCATAACAATTGTTACTTGGACAAACGTTGGGTAAATCCCAATGTTGTTCTGTGTCGAAGGAAGTCAAGTTTCTGTTTTCTATAATTGAGATTACTAATCCCTATTTAATATCATGTTGGTTTACTGAATTATTTCTATAGATAGAAAGCCAGGTATAGGTATTTGTTATTTAAAAACACTTATTTACGTAACTCAATTAACTGTTGCCATAGGGACTTTGAATTCAAGTAAAATCAACAAAAATATTTATTAGAGTTTTCAATGGGTTGTTTCATTTTAATATTTTCTAAAGGCTTTGTCTTGACTGTTTCCATTTTCATGGGTAGTATCGAAATCCATGTGATTAAGGCCACTTGCTATAGCCACCACACTTATATTTACTACGCTAAATAATACCAGCATTTGTCTGAAAGAAATGATTCTGAACTTGTAGACCTTTTAATGCTTTTGTATATCATTATACAGGGCTTGCATTAACGGCGTCCCTTACATGTAAGTGACGCAAAAAAAAATTGTAGGACGGAAAAATAAAAAATATTTCCGTTTTTGGGACGGAAAGAAAATTGAGTCAAAACTTTGAACATTTTTGAAAATCTTGAAAATCTCAATAGTTGATCATGTTTGACTTCTTTGAGGTGTATATTAAGATCAAAATATGTGAGATTTACAACTTTATTTTGAGTAAAAAAGAAAAAGAATGCAGAAAAACGAACTATTGTAATGGGCGATAATAGGTTATCAGTTTGCATGTGACATATTTTTCTCACTGAAAAGCTGATATAAAACCTTCAAAATGAGTTCAATTGTACAAATGATGCATACTTACCTAGGTGAAGTAGTCTATTTGTGATTATATAACGTCAAAATGGTCTAATTTATGATATAAATCAGAGGATTCTGATCATGTAGAAAATGTAGTGAAACACTAAATTACTGAGCGTCAGACAAATTCATACTAAAAAATGTTCTTATTTTTTCAAGCAGTTGTTCAGTGCAAACAGCAAGTATAAAGATAATCACAGTATAATAGTACTTACTATAACAGGCTGGAGGTTACATAACATAAGTGAATTGAATATAAAGAACATGTTTAAATCACAGGGCACGAATGGCAACATTTTGAAAACACATAAGACATGTAAGATGAAGTCATGCACATTCCAAAATAGCCCATTACAGCTAATTTAGCTTATATATTGG